GCTATGAACAACTTTGTATCTGCATAAGTAGTTTTGAAAAATAAGCCCTGGATAATAAAAAGATAAATAATATTATTAGTTATTTGTAATCATCAAATACTGAGACCAAAAATTTTAAACAAATTTGTTAATTGGTATCAGATTATATATAGAAATTTCTTTACTTTATCTCTAATTTGGTAGAATATAAAACTCAAAATTAATAGCAAATTCTTTTGCCAAATAAGTAGATTAGGGGAAAATAACTTTTGATCTAGAAATTCAAGATCAGAAGAGCAAATTGGGATATTCGCTGAAATTTAGGAATCCCTACAAAAATTATTTTTTTGATTATCACTTCTTAACATAAAATACTTTACAATTGTTCTGTTTGAAATAAATTAAAAAGTTTCTATTTTTTCAAGTTTAACTAGAAATTACTCAAAATGTATTAAATAAAAAGAACTTAAGATTGAAAGACCTTTTTATGGTTAAAAACTCTCCACAAAACAAATCATAGATTAAAGATCTTCAGTAATGCAAAAATTATAGAATATTGACCGCTAAAGAATTGATTTTAAACCACTGCGATAAGTAGGTATTAAAGTCATTGCCCACTTTATAAAACCGGCATAAAGCTATCTCGGTATAAAACAAGAATATTAATTAATATTTGTATATGTTACATATTATGTAGAGCTGTGAGCCATGTCTTCGATGAGATGTGCTTCTAGCATTCAAGATCTCTTTCAATCAAAAAATCCATATGTTAAAACGAACTTCATTTAAAGTTGACAAAGTCGAAACAATCGTCAAAATTCATAACAAATTTTTGTTTGTTTTTGAGTTTTATTTAAAAATTTTTTTATATTATATGAAATGTGTTAATAATTTTTAAAACAAATTTAATATAAATATTTCCAACGTTTGGATATTTACAGATAACACACTAGTTCCAGTTAATCTAAAATAAATTTTACAAAAATATACTCAATACTTCTTTCATATAATAGTATAAGAATTATTACTTTATTTTTTTTTAATTACGACGACGTTGCGTATTTCTATGCCCATTTCCATAGTGGTGTGTAGTGTACCTGCAACGTGATCCAGGCCGCGCATGACCACAGGCGTTAAAAGGCTTAAGATAGAGCATTGGCAATACCACTTTGTTTTGTATCTTTTTATATTCTTTGAGTTGGAAATCTACAGCTTTTGCACTTATCAATTGCACTGCGCAGAGTAAAAATATTAGATACTTTAAACCGTTCATGATGGCAAATTGAAATTTAAGTTTCAAAATTGAATATTTATTCAATATAGTATAATATATTGTATTTATTTCTTCTTAGTGAATTTTTAGTTTTGTATAATTTTTTTTTTCAATTATTTCACTTAAGACTCTTGAACGTAATAACTTTCTTATATCAATGTCTGTTCTATACTGAATACCGTAATTGTCACTGTACTCTGAGAATGCTTCAGATTTCAAAATTTCTTATCACTCAGTTTAACAATTATAAATTATTTTTGCGAAATTATAAGAAATTCCCATATTTAATCTTATTTAATGATTTCAAACATATTAACATGATTATGAAGAATTTATTTTATACCCAATGTAAGACACATGACACTATGTTGTGTGACTTAAACATATTGGCATTAAATATCTCACATAGGTCTTTAAGTTCTCCGTCGATTGCACCAGTATTTGAGGGAATGTCAAGTAAATAAGCAGACTCTTGAAACAATCGAGTCATATCTCATATGTGGTAGTATTCACTGACATTATATTTTTCAACAAAGAACTTATATCAAAAAGTTTTTTTATTTTAATTTTCCAATTAGTAAATAAAAATCTTGAAACAAAATTTGTTTCAAATTATCTCATAATAATTTCAATGTGAGGGTAAAGTACATTGTCTATTTTTATATATTAAAGATTTATTTTCTAATCTATTAAATTAGACATTTAATACTTTAATAGTAGAATATACGCAGTTCTGCGTAGTAGCACACAACTAATTACCTGTGGTATTACAAATAATTACATACTTCATCCTAACAATATTAAAACCATAAATGTTCCAAACCACGCTGGCATCAAAGGAAGTAATCAAGCAGATCAAGTTGCTTTTAATGCAATCCATTCTTTTTTTCTTATTGAATACATAAAAAAAGAAAAAAAGAAGATGTATTAAACATTATAAAAAACATTATTGATATTCAGATGTCTGAGTTGGTGAATCAGCACCTTTACTCTATTTTATCTGTGGACAATTTTAAGTCACACTAAATACGGGTCTTTACGGGGCTTTATAATATGATGGATCTGATGTCTTTGTATCTGCCTGTGTTCATCAAATTTCGCTGTATTTTTAGGATACTGAGTGTTGGATTATTGTGACTGTCAATTGTATTGAATAGTCACGAGCACGATCCCCTTTAATGTATTTCTTCAAACTGAATCCCACTCGCAGAATCATCTTGGGATATCAGCTCCCTCTTACATACCATGGGCTCTAACCAGTTTTCCTTAAGGCAATATTTATTGCCCCTCTTTGAAGAAGTTTTTAAAGTTAAGCTTGGACCTTTGGTAAAACGCTAGTACTTGCCATAGCAGTATATATAAGTGACATGAAATGGTCAGTGTTTAAACATCACTAAAACCGGTCGATTAATACCAACTCATTAAAAGTAATATACCCACTATCATGCACCAATCAACAATGTGAAATGTTTATTCGATTGCATATGGGATAATTATAGCTGTCACATCAGTATCTTTCGAAATACTGGCCATTGATAACGGCCTTTACTGCGAATTCAGAAACAACCCCATTCCACAAATGTGGAACAGAACCAACCAACTCTTTAAAAATGCTCAAAATTTCTACATCTTGATAAAAAAAAAACAAATGAAAGAATCCGTACCCCGCTACTATGCTTCAAAGCCTTATCAAAACCTGGAAAAAGAAATGAGAGAGATTATAACTGTGAACAGTTGACCAAACAAACACATCACAAAGTGATTGGTCGAGCTTTCATGAAGGGTCGCCTAGATGTTTAATACCTTTATGGTGATAAAAGTATCAAACAAAATAATTTTATTGTTTATCACGTATCTGTGCTTTCTATTCTATTAATACAATGAAAACTCTGGACAATTATTTTCACCTGAAAAATTTAGTGTTCCCGTTAATGACAGTTTATTGAAATTTCGCTGTATATATTTGCAGTAATTATGTCATATTACGGGTTAATTATTTGGTTTTAAAAGATTTTATTTTAACTAATATTTCGATTATAATCTATAGTCATCATAGTACCCGAAACATCGTAAGAGTACTATCATGATTATAGATAATAGGCGAAATATCATCATGGTACTATGATGACTATAGATTACTGTCGAAATATCGGTTATAATAAAATCTTTTAAAAACCGATAAAAAAATTTTTAAAAAGTTTATTATTTAACTATTGACCATTTAGCCCACAAAAAAATAAAATTATTATTAAAATTTTCTGGTCATTAAAACAATAAATTAATTTAACTTAAATAAAATGAGTTCTCTAATATTTTGCGACCATTTCTTTTATTTGTTTTTATTAATTTTATTTGTTATTTATTATAAATATTTCGTAAAGATAGTCATTTAATGAAATATATTTAAATTTTTGCTATGTTAAAGGTACAATTAAGTATTTCTTTATTTGTTCGTATAAATATTTCATTTTTAAACATCTAAACAAAACATATTGTTAAATAATATTTTTCTTTAAGAAAGATACAAGAGAACTTTAATATTATGGATAAGTATTTAAAATATTAAAAAATAAATTTAATAACAAAAATATGTTATTTTATATACATATATAGTATGTGTTATAAATATATTGTATAGACAAATACAATATATAATAAACAGATATGAAATCACTGTTTGGTATTAACAAAATTATCTAAATGATTTGTAAAAATATTCAAGTCTCAAGTTAGTTAAGTTAACACTGAAAAAAAATACATTAAGCCTTAAAAAGGTTTTTTTTTTAAAACAGTCTCTTCTGAAAAAATTGTTTAAACAATAATCAATAAACTAATATTTTATAACTTTCTTTTATATTTACTTTTACTGATACTTTTATAGAGTAAAATTTATTTTAAGTTTATTAAAATTTAAATTTTATTGGTTTTTATTTAATTTCTCAAGATTTTGTTTATTTTAATTTATTTTTTATTTTGTATATAACAATGGTATTAAAAACCTTCAATTTGCAGTAGAATAGTAAATTCATACAAGATATTATATTTAAGTATGTAAATTCCATTGAAAAATTTTATAGTAAAAAGTTTTTGATTTTTGCTTTTTGCTTTATTATAATAAATATAATAAATAAATAAATAAATTCTCAATTTAATTGATATGAAAGCTGTTTAGGATTGTTTTGAAATTTCGTTTAATTGGAACCCATTATTTCTTTACGAATATTCACCACTTTATAAGCAAAGTCAACTAAATTTCTCGGTGAATAATTCGAGCCTATAAACAATATTAAAAATATTTTTAGAATATATATACATAAATACACAAATGTATGTATATGCATATATGTATACAGAATTTCTATGAAATTTTTTAGACACATTTTATTTTGATAAATTTTCTCTATATAGTATAACATTAATATATATTATTGATCTATTTAATATATATAAAATTGAAATTTTTTTTTTATAACAGTTTGTATAATTTTTGTTAAAATACTTCAAAATATTTTTGCATTTATAAATTTAAGTATAATATACATATTTTTTTTAAATACATATGTAAATAAATAGTTTCTTTGATAATTGTTATTTTAATATGCTAATTGTGATTGTTAGTCAAAACGATGTACATAATAAAAATCGTGTTTTTAGATATGGTGGCAAGACCAGGAAGATATTTTATATTGGCATAAACATAAAAACAAGAATTTAAACGTTAAAATTAAAATCTCATACTATAATTATTTATGATTTGTATTATATTTTTTCTACTTATTTTCAATTATCATTTGTAATTGAAGAACCAAGCTGCGTGCCAGTTGTAATACTGCTGTTGCATTATGACGTTCCGCCATTTCTTCAAAAAATGATTACAACGACAGTTTTATTAAAATATAAAATTACTATATATTCAAATACACTCTACATACCATTAAAAAACTTGATAACATCCGTAAAATCCATACTATTCGATAATATAATATCGCGATAAGTTTCTAGTAAAGCCAATGCCAGGAATAGTACAAAATGACTTGAGGCTACATGTCTTGCTGCCCAAATCACTTCCCATGTCGAAAATACATCTTCGTAAATCAATTCTCTTTTAAAATCCAACAAAAACCAACGATAACAAAAGTAGAAATGTGTATAATCGCCATTAGAATCCATTAAATCGTACATTTCGGAGTCCAAAATTTGTATTAGAGATCTATGAAAATATATTAAAATATATTAAAAAAAATGATTATATTTTTTATATAGGAAATAATATACTCGTAGTTTGTAGTATGTTTAATAAATATATATAGAAAACAATATAATTTGTGAGATGTTTAATTAATATTAATGTATAGGAAATATCTTTTGACATGCACAACTTGCACCTCTACCGATCGATCGGTCAGCTGTAGTTTTTCAAAATGATATTACGTAGTTAGTGTGATATAATATGGATAAATATTGTTCATTGTTTCAACAAACAATCAAATTTAAAAATAATAAAGTTTATTTAAAGACTACTTATATAAATTGCAATAAAACGCAAACATTTCTTAATCAGAAGTGTAAAAAACTCTATGGTCTATATCACAATATGACACATTTTAGACGAACCTCATATTTGCAAAATGCATATCCATAGCTCCACCATTTGGAAAATTTTCAATCATGCGTTCCATTAATTTACAAAAGCAACTGTAACTTAAAGATTCGTCGTCGAAAATTACTAAAAGTGGTGCTACCAAATCGCACATGCCCTGCATATAACCAACTTCCAGATGTTCCCAGACATAACTACAATTAAATTATTTTTATTAATGTTTTAAAAAAGTATAGCTAAACTTACGTTGAAATAACATTACGAAGCTTATCCAAATTCTCATTTGCAAAGTACCAATAATTTCGATCACACCTCTGAACATCTTTTTCAATGCGATGCAAATTTAAACCAAATTGTTCCAATAGTTCGCTCTATAAAAATAATCAAATTTTTTACACACAAATATATTTGAATGTTAATTAAATAAGAAGTCTAAAATTGACTTACACTATAAACCCCACCATTTGAGCTGGCTGGTGAAACACATGCAGATTTGGGTTCCTGTAGACCATCAAAAACTTTCTCGCCTATAATGTTGTCATCCATAGCATGCTCCTGCACTGGTGTCATTTGACGACTTCCCGTTTGTGAACTCTGTTCCCAGTTAGCAATATCAACCGAGGCATCTGTTATAATAACTGCCGCTTGAGGTCCACAATTCTGTGCATTTTGCGAAACAGTAACTTGAAAATTATCTGTGTCTACCACTTCCTCATCCAAATTCACTTGTAAATCATCTGCACTTAAATATTCAGGACTCAGCACACCTTTTGAATCCTCAACTGAAATCAAATTTGTAGATATGGATGCATTTAAATTGGTTACATTAAAGCCATTGCCAACTGTTTCATAGGATGAACTGGATGGGGAACTTTTAATACTTTGTGTGGTTTGTTGCATACCTGCATCAGCTCTGAACGTTTCTTCTGTGTCAATTGTTGTAGGTAAATCAGTATTATTGCTATCGCTGCCCGCATCGCAGTTCTCGTTCATTGTACTTTCTTCATCCTCT